CACTCCTGCTCCGTCTCACTCTTCCTTTCCCTCGCCCATGAAGCGGCCCCTTCGCGCGTGCGGAATGCGAGATTGCACGTGCGTGCCATGCATGTATGTCGTCAGGAAGCTCTACGAGTTCCCGGCGTTAACCAAGGTTGACGGTTTTCCGCTGGCGAATACTATGACATATTTGACAGTTCGTCCTGGGATCCCCCACCCGGAACCCCCGCCCTGTAGTTCATCATGGCGCGTTTTATGGTGAAAGTCTTAGGGCTGGCTGCAGCGCAGTTCTCGAGAATGACTCGTAGAGCTTTGCGAAGAGCGAAGCGGCAAAGCTAGAGAGTTACTCGTAGAGCTTCCCATAAGATCGAAGCGGCGAAGCTAGGGAGTAATTCCGGCGCGCTGGGGGGCTAGTTGGCCCGACAAATCTCGACGGAAGTTTTGCGTAATTTTGGTCGATTAAAAATCAATTTCTCGAGATTTGACAATTCGTTAACGTTCTCATATTTTGCTCCTCGTATTCGATCCCATTGCCGCTCGCCATCGTAATCTCCGGTCGATCGGGTGGGCATCACTATCAAAAAGCATGTGGGCGGGGTCGGCTGTTCAGTGTCATCTTGGCAGGTGCTGTCGGTTTTCTGAACTTAATTCGAGCTGTAGGTGAGCTACAGAGCTGGTCGGCATAGGAATCGAAAAGGAAATCATCAGGAGCGCTAGTCTCAAGCATCTAGATGCCTGAGATCGGTCTGCTACCAGAGCTGGGACAGAACAACTATTCATAATCTGCTTTTTTTCAGAGATGCTGCCAGTTTTCTTAATTTATATCGGTATATAGATGAGCTACATAGCTGTTCGGCACAATAATCGAAAGTCGAAAGAAAATCATCAGGAGCGCTCGCTCGTTTCAAGTATTCAGATGTCTGCGATCGGTCTGCTACCAGAGCCGGAACCCAACAACTATTTGTGCTCTGCTACTTATTTGAGATGTGCTGATAGTTTTCTCTTTTTTATTCAAGCTGGGGCTGGCTATGCAGCTGAGAAGCACTTGTGGAAACAAAGAGTCATTGGGAGCATTCGCCTACGGCATCGAGAAGTCTCAATTCGGCCTGCAAGCTGCGACTGAAAAACTATTTGAACTGTACATACTTTACGAGAGATGATGTGCGTTTAATAGAATTCGAGGTCTCGGCCAGCTACGGAGCTGAGATGCACACCGATCGACAAAGAATGTTGAAATGCATCAGTCTAAAATATCAACACGCTTGATATCGGCTTGCGACCAAAACTGCGACCAACTAGTTTTTTGCATTCCATCATTACCTAACAGCTTTTGCTGATAGGTTTCTAGTGGTCTCAAAAGAGAGCAGCAGATGACTCCACAGGGGGGTCTGGGCGGGAGCCGGGGAGCTGTGTCCGAACTCGTGTCCGAACTCGTTTTTCGCAAACAGTCACACACTTCGTGCTCTTTGACCTCCCAGAACTCCATTCCGGGCCACATTCTGAATGCCCGGAGCCAACTGTAGGCCACTTCGTGCTCTTCGACTTCCCAGAACTCCATTCCCGGGCCACATTCTATTCTGAATGCCCGGAGCCAACTGTAGGCCACTTCGTGCTCTTCGACTTCCCAGAACTCCATTCCCGGGCCACATTCTATTCTGAATGCCCGGAGCCAACTGTAGGCCACTTCGTGCTCTTAGCTTTCCCAAAACTTCATTCCCGGGCCACATTTTGAATGCCCGGAGCCAACTGTAGGCCACTTTGTGGCTTTCGAGTTCCCAGAACTCCATTCCTGGGCCACATTTTGAATGCCCGGAGCCAACTGTAGGCCACTTCGTGCTCTTCGAGTTCCCAAAACTCCATTCCTGGGCATGATTTTGAATGCCCGGAGCCAACTATAGGCCACTTCGTGGTCTTCGAGTTCCCAGAACTCCATTCCTGGGTATGATTTTGAATGCCCGGAGCCAACTGCAGGCCACTTCGTGTTCTTCGAGTTCCCAGAACTCCATTCCCGGGCCACATTTTGAATGCTGAGGCAGGCTGAGGCTGCTGAGGCAGGCTGAGGCTGGCAGGCTGAGGCTGAGGCCGAGGCTGAAGGCAGGCTGAGGCTGAGGCTGAGCAGGCTGAGGCTGAGGCTGAGGCAGGCTGAGGCTGAGGCTGAGGCAGGCTGAGGCTGAGGCTGAGGCTGATGCAGGCTGAGGCTGAGGCAGGCTGAGGCTGAGGCCGAGGCTGAAGGCAGACTGAGGCTGAGGCTGAAGCAGGCTGAGGCTGAGGCTGAGGCTGAGGCTGAGGCTGAGGCAGGCTGAGGCTGAGGCAGGGCTGAGGCAGGCTGAGGCTGAGGCTGAGGCTGAAGGCAGGCTGAGGCTGAGGCAGGCTGAGGCTGAAGCAGGCTGAGGCTGAGGCAGGCTGAGGCTGAGGCTGAGGCTGAGGCAGGCTGAGGCTGAGGCTGAGGCTGAGGCTGAGGCTGAGGCTGAGGCTGAGGCTGAGGCTGAGGCAGGCTGAGGCTGAGGCTGAGGCTGAGGCTGAGGCTGAGGCTGAGGCTGAGGCTGAGGCTGCAGGCTGAGGCTGAGGCTGAGGCTGATGCAGGCTGAGGCTGCAGGCTGAGGCTGCTGAGGAGGCTGAGGCTGCTGAGGCTGAGGGCTGCAGGCTGGCTCAGGCTGATGCTGAGGCTGAGGCAGGCTGAGGCTGAGGCCGAGGCTGAAGGCAGACTGAGGCTGAGGCTGAAGCAGGCTGAGGCTGAGGCTGAGGCAGGCTGAGGCTGAGGCTGAGGCAGTCTGAGGCTGAGGCTGTGACTGCGACTGCCGTTGCCACTGCGACTTTCATCGCGAATGCGATTGCGACTGCGAGAACAGCAGAATTCTACAACTGGATTCTCATGCGAATCTTAAGGGGAATGCTTCCAGATATGCTCCTACACATCGCTGTTAGGTTGCTTTGCAGTTTTTTTTTTTTTTTTTTTTTTTTTTTTTTTTTTTTTTTTTTTTTTTTTTTTTTTTTTTTTTTGTTGTTGTTGTTGTTGTTTTTTTTTGTTAAATGAGAGACGGTATTGCATTTCTGCATTTAATTCGAGTCATAGGCAAGCTAGGGACCCGGGAAACATTCGGCTCAACATGTAATCATCAGATCCAGTCCTTTACAGTAGCTTGGAAGCATACTGTTCGAATGGGGATGATGACGAGCACTAGTCAAACTCGAGCTGTGGACAAGCAGGAAGCTGTGAAGCAACTTCTCCTCCTCTGCCTCCTCCTCCTCCTCCTCCTCCTCCTCCTCCTCCTCCCCCTTCTTCTTCCCCTTCTCCTCCTTCGCCCTTCTTTTTCTTATCCTCTTTCTCCTCCTCCTCTTCCTTTTCCTCCCCCTCCTCCTCCCACTTTTCCTCCTCCTCAAGAGTCTCCCTGCGCGGTTGACACTTTGGAAGAGGTGTCTCCTAAAACCCAGGCTCCGATGGTGCCGTGGTTGCAGGGAAACCGCTGTCCGATCCGCAGTGCGCGGGTGTCGGAGCGTTGCCACCAACAGAACGCCGCACCTTGGCCCCTGATATCGCCAGGCCCTCGTTTTCCTCAGGCCCCGTGCCGCGCAGAGCTGTCTCCGTGACTCGCCCAGCGCCTCCAACGCGTCGGCCGTGCGCGATCCAGGGAGGAGCTGCGTGATCGGGAGTCGTTACTGTCGTTGCCGCCACGTCCTGCTGGAGGTCCACGTGGGCCGTCCAAGTGGGTCCCGGGCTCGGAGAAGGGCACCGAACGTCTTGCGTGATTCCGGGACCACCCCTGAAGCGTGGCCCAAAAAGGCGCGAGCCTCGGGGAGCCCCCGTATACCCGTGAGGACCTCTCCGAGGCCTGGGCCGTCGGGCGAGCGTCTGCTTGTCCCGCGCGGACGGCGTCAGAGCGAGGCCGACGCGTGAAAATTCGGGCACCGAGCCCGGGCCCATCGTGGGCGCGGCCGCCCCGCCATCGTCGCCTCTGGCACGCGCGCGCGCGCGCCCGCATGCATCCGCGCGCGGCCACCGTGTCAGGGGTCCTGTCTTGTCCCTCCCGCCCCCCCTCCTTGCTCGAGGTCCGAGAGGTACCTCCAGCCTCAGACAGGGCTAGGCTTCGGAGAGTCTAGCAGAGGTTTTCGGAGGCTCTCCGAGGTTCTGGCCCTTTCTAGGGGCGATCCTGAACCCCCGTAGAGGTTCGGACAAATTTTCCGAACCCTGGCCCCACTTGGACGTCCCATTCAGGTTTCAACAACAGCCACCATTCGCCCTCCATCCTCTTCCCTCATCTATCCTCGGTCCTCTTGCTGGTGCGTCTCCCCCTCATGCTCGAATCGCCGTGCTCCACCTCCATGCTCCGCCCTCAGTCCTTCTTATCTTCTCCCACCTGCTCCAACTGTGCATTCTTTTCCTCTTTATCTCTCCTCCCATGGCTTCGACATCCACGATGGGCAAAAGCGGGCGAATGAGAACAGCCAGCGTCAATCAGTGCGGTGCTCACGTGTTGGTCGCCCATGGTGCTCGTCCTATTGCCGTTTCTCAACGGGTATATCTGCATGTGTTAGATGAAGGCAGGGCGCCCCCAATAGGGTGATGTCTTTGAAAGCAGTTTAAACTAGGTAGACGCAATGCTTGGCATTGCTTGTCATTGCTTGGCATCGCGAAGGAACCCAGGCGACGAAGCCAAGAGGAACCCCACAAACGCCCGAGGATCCTACAGAGGGACCCAAGACCAATGAACCCCGGCAACGCCGAGAAACCTGGGCAATGCCTGGGGAACCCAAGACCGAGGAACCCTGACAACGTCCAGGAAGAGGGGGAACGCCCGAGGAACCCAAGACTGAGGAACCCAGGCAACGATGAGTGCCTCTTCTGATAATTGGCCCCGAGCCCAGCTGTCTCTTCCCAGACAGGTAAGAAACTTTAGGCAAAGCCTGATTGGGGAAATGTCCAGACTCCAGGGTCCAGCTTTTGAGAGTCCCCTAAGGCCTCCAAAATGGAGGTCACAGTCGCTCACGATGTGCAACAGCATCGCGTCCGACATGTCCGTAGTAATTTTACCTCAAAGTTTGGCCTTGGTGTTCAAGACAGGTTTGTTACTGCCATTCAGTGCAAAGGAAGCTCATCGTACTGAGGCACACAGCTCGCTGAACAGGTTGTTGCCCGCATGCAGTTTGCAGTGTCGGCAGTTCTTGTCATTGCAATTGGGTTCCGTGAAGCGATCTGCATGGATTTGGTGGTGCCGCTGTACAAGTGGCCAGACCTGGGCCAACACGATTCAATGTACGATGCGGTGGCCAACTCCCCAGTGCAGACGGTTGCCATCATCAATCCCACCAACGGCGACAGCAACCAGTGTGCTGGCACCGAGCCACATGATACAACTTGGCGGTCCGTGGTTGAGCTCTTCGATGGGCGACCCCTGGTCAAGACGATAGGGTATGTGTACACGAAGTGGGGTAATCGGCCCAGGGCGCACGTGGAAGCGTCAATCGATAGATACTTCGCTTGCTGGAGAGTGTCAGGAATATTCATTGACGAAGCAAGCACGGACACAAGCCTCTGCAGCGGCAATGGATCATACTACAAAGAGTTGTACAGCTACATTATCTCTAAGAATACCGCAGCAGAAGTCGTAATAAATCCAGGAACCGGTGTGGACTTCGACGTTTGGCGGCATTGCTCGACTCGAGCGATGGTGGCCGAGGTGCCGATGGTGGCCGAGGCGCCAGCGAGTTCATGGGTGAGCGAATTCCGCACAAGTGGACACTTCAACCCCCAGGGTTCCACAGCCACGTATCCAGCGGGCTATGCGATCGTTCTTGTGTATGGGGTCCCCACGGAAGTCCAAATGCAGGAGGTGGTGCGCCAGGCAGCATGCGAGTCGATCACAAATGCTGGTGGCATCATGGTGCTATCTGAGGGTGGTTCCAACAGTCTCCCAACCTATGACCAGCTTCCAGAGTACTTCTTGCAAGAAGCGGAGTACATCACGTCATCTTGGAGTGCAATGTGCCCTAAGTACCCTGGCATGAACTCTTACACACTTGCACCAGTTGGAGGTGTATGTTGGTGGAACACTTCAGACAATAACTGCGAGCAGTGTCATGCTGGAAGCTTTCAGTGCTCTTGGACAGGTTGCTATAAACACCAGTGCTCGCCACCAGGTGGCGGCGCGTGTTCAAATCCGTGTCTCAACAGCCATACATTGGCGCCCACTGGTGCACCCTGCTGGTGGAACACGTCAGACACAAGTTGTGAGTTGTGCACTGAGGGCAGCAACCAGTGCTCTTGGTCTGGATGCTATAAGCACCAATGCTCACCAGCTGATGGGAGCGCTTGTTCGAGCCCATGTCTCAACAGCTATACCTTGGCACCCTCTGGTGCACCATGCTGGTGGAACTCATCGGACTTGAATTGCGAGGTGTGTGCTCTCGGCAGCAATCAGTGCTCTTGGTCTGGATGCTACAAACACCAATGCTCGCCGAACACTGATGCGAGCGCTTGCACGAATGAATGTGACACATCAAGGCGCTTAAGAGGCAGCCCGAGTGTTTGAGAATGACGCCCGATGTGTTTGCTACCAGGCGTTTGCTGGTGTGGATGAAGTGTATCCTTTATGCATCAAGCCGCAAGGTTTCAAATACACGCGTACACACATACACACATATGCATACATATGTATATATAGCATAGATATGTATACGTATAGGTCTACAGGCAAGTGTTGACAGGCTCGCTCTGTTTGGTTCACGCATCGTTCATGGGGAGTGAGGGGCCCAAATGAACCCGGGAGCAGGCATGGTCTGAGGAGCTGGGCGCGGGGCGGGAGGGGGAATTAGAGGAGAGAACAAACCCCTGTCACAACATTTGTCTTTGCTACCCTCTGATGGGGCCGTTAATACATGCACAGGAATCGCTTCTGCGAGACATCAGCCCTGACATGAGCGGCTTTCAATACGTCTGCCAACAGCCTGTCCGAGCCTGTATGATGAGAAGGATAAGGAAGGGGGGTGGAGGAGCGATGATGAAGAGACGAATACTTCTTCTCCTCCTCCTTCTCCAAGTGTTCCGTTAGCTTCTCCTCCTTCCATTGCTTCGTTTGCTGCTCCCCCCCCCTCTCCTCCCCATCCTCTGCCTTCTCCTTGTCCCCTCCTCCCTGTGCTCTTTTTCTTCTCGGGCAAGCCATGGGGGCACACACGCTGGGGGCGTCAGCGAGGCGGCTACCAGCGAGAAGCAGCCGCAGGCAAGGACAGGCAGCAGCGAGTAGCGGCCGCCCAACTGGCCTGTGAACCCGTCGAAAGCGGGCAAACTAACCCACCTTCGCCCCATACAGCGTCCATCTCGCCACCACCAGACTCTACAGGGATCGAGGCCAAAAGGCAACGGCGACCTCGCAGCCAGACCTCGAGGCGTCTCGCTAGAGGTCCACAGTCACCGAGGCCGAGAGCCTCGCACCCCAGCTCCAGGGACGAGCACAAGACCAGCCCCCTCCCACCACCAGGCCACCACCTCCAAGAACGATGCAAGGCTCAGGGCCTGCAATTGCAAGCGCAGGTGGCTGGGCCCAGGGTTCGGGTTTGTTTCACCCCCCTATGGGCCCAGACCAAGTTCCTCGACCCGCATCCGCGGTCGAGGGAGCTCGAGGCCTCGGCCGAGGCCTCCAGCAAGCAGAAGGAGTGTAGTAATTGGAGCGCTCGGTCCAGCGCTCGGCCTTTCCCCGCTGCCACCCCACCAGCTCATCCATCCCTCTAAGTGCGCGAGGTGCGAGAGGCTGACGGCACACGCGACAGGCCGAACGACCAAGGGCGCGTGTAAGGCATGGCTACCCCTCGACCGCCAGCCCTCCTTTGATCATCGCCTCGGACGTGTCACTCAAAAGAGGAGGCCAGAGGCCCATCGGCCAGGGTCACCTTTTCTCTCCGTGAGTGGCCGAACGCCAAGGTCACGAGCGAGCTGAAGGTGAAAAGCCGAACAGCCAGGGTCGCACGTGAAGTCAGGGCTTCTCCTCCTCCTCCTCCTCCTCCTCCTTCTCGTCCTTCTTCTCCTCCTTCTCGTCCTTCTTCTCCTCCTCCTTCTCCTCCTCCTCCATCGGGCGTGCCTGCAGGAGAGACGGCAGGAGTCTCTCGCTCGCCCACCGAGGCGGGCAAGACGACGGCCAGGGTCTCTGGCCGAGAACGGCGGACACAACTCGCCGCGAGCACGTCGTCACAGTTTTTGGGGAAGAGCTGCACGCACACGGGCCATGCGAGCAGGACAGAGAAGAAAGTGGGAGGAGGGGGGGGGAAACCAATGCTACGGATCCATCCTTGCCGCCTCTTGGTCGCCTTCGGTCACGCCGCCTCTTGGTCGGCATTCGTGTCGGCGGCGGCCTTTGATCACGCCGTCTTGGTGTCCAGCGAACTTTGGCGATCGGCTCCTCGAGGCGAGCTGTCGGTGGTGCGCTGGCTATGAAGTCAAAACAAAAAAAATGCTGCGGATCCATCCCCTCGCGGCCAGCCCGCGCACCTCGGGAGATGGAACGCGACGGCGGCCACCACAAACTGGCCCGCTGGACAGCCTGCCGGACAGCTCCATGAAGAAGGCCACATGGGCCTGCCGTGCGCACCACCGCTCCAGTGAACGCGTGCAGCATCAGGCCGAAGGAGACGGAAACGTGCCCACTCCAGGGACCGACAATGGAGCCGTGGTAGACCTAACCCGGGCGCTCGCCTAGTTACGCCATACACGGCATCATAATCCGCAGATTTTGTCGTAAGTCTCCTCCTCCTCCTCCACTGAACCTTCGCTCCACATCTTCCCTGGTTGTATGACGGTCGTCGCTTCAGCACGACGCGGCAAGATGGGCAATTGCCTGGCGCTTGCCGAGCTACACGGCGCACGGAATTTGAATCCACAGACTTTGTCGTGACGCTCCTCCTCCTCCGCCTCCTCTTCAGAAGCCTCCTGTAAGCCTCCACGTATTGCTAAACGAAATCGCGGCCCATCACGCTCTAGAGGCCCCATGATCAGGTGAAAAAGCGTTCCGACAAGCATCGTGGACTGGGCAGCGCCGTTACGACAGTCGCCCTCGCTGGGCATTTGCGCGTCCTCCAAATCCTGAAACGGGGAGTACCCTTACGACGGATGCCCTCGGCAGGGCAATGTTGGAAAGCGGGCAGCGGGGCGAAAAGGCAAGCGCAGCTTCATGGAGATATGCAATTCCTTCGTCGTCCCCACCTGCACCTCCCTTTTACAACCTGAGAGGGCGAGCAAAGCAACTGCCCAACACCCGCCTCCCAGTGCTCCGTTTGCTCCTCCTCCTCCTCCTCCTTCTGGTGCTCCAATTGGGGTTCCTCCTTCGCCTACGGGTCGCTTTGAATCCCACCCCACCTATCGCGCTTATATTTGGGCCCACTTTGAATATTATCCATGCCTCTCGAGGCCACGTTTAAACCATCTCGGGCTCTGTGGGCTCTCGTGGGGCCGTCTCGGAGCTCTGCTCATCGTGGGAGCGTTCAGTGCTCCTTGGACGCCTTCTTCGGCCGTGACGGGTTCCTTCGGAACGCCTCCTCTGGCTTGGACCCACTTTCAGCCCTCTAGAGCGGGCTCTTCTGAGCTCCTCTGGGGGTGTTCTTCTCCTCGTGGGCTGCGTTGGGCCTCTACTGGGCGTTTTCTGTGACGTCTTGGGGCGATCCTGGGATTGGAGGCTGCGAGGCCCGCACGATACTTCTGCCATCAGTGTGCTTTCCCAATTATTCCCCACATGTTTCGTGGGGTTCTGGTTTTCTTCCCTGCCGCGTCACACTCACTCACCTCCCTCTTCCCCTCTTCCCTCTTCTCCTCTCCTCACCCACACGCGTCGCACCCGCGGCTCTCACCTCGCCTCCCTCCCTGCCCCTTCTCCTTCTCAAGCAGCACAGTATAACACCTCGCACCGCAGCACAGCACAGCACAGCACAGCCTAGCAAAGCTCAGCACAGCACACAGCTGCACATCACAGCGCAGCGCAGCACAGCACAGCGCAGCGCAACGCAGCACAGCACAACACAGCAGCACAACATACAGCTCAGCGAGGGCCGCGACGCGCGCTCGCAGCGCGGCTGGGGGGCTGAGGTGGGGTCTCCGAGCGCGGCGTCTATGCGGGCCATGGCGCAGGGCGTGGCAGGTGTGGCACTATCTCGATCTCGTAGGAGGTGCGCTGGGAGTGGTCTCCGAGCGCGGCGTCTATGCGGGCCATGGCGCAGGGCGTGGCAGGTGTGGCACTTTCCTCACCCCGTAGGGGGTGCGCAGGGGGTGGTCTCCGAGCGCGGCGTCTATGCGGGCCATGGCGCAGGGCGTGGCAGGTGTGGCACTTTCTCGACCCCGTAGGGGGTGCGCAGGGGGTGGTCTCCGAGCGCGGCGTCTATGCGGGCCATGGCGCAGGGCGTGGCAGGTGTGGCACTTTCTCGACCCCGTAGGGGGTGCGCAGGGGGTGGTCTCCGAGCGCGGCGTCTATGCGGGCCATGGCGCAGGGCGTGGCAGGTGTGGCACTTTCTCGACCTCGTAGGGGGTGCGCAGGGGGTGGTCTCCGAACGCGGCGTCTATGCGGGCCATGGCGCTGGGCGTGGCAGGCACGGCATATTGTCGACACCACTGGGGGTGCGCAGGGAATGGTCCTTGAGCGGGGCCGCTGTCCGTGACGGTCGTGCAGGGCACAGCAGGCGTGGCGTTTCCTCGACACCACAGGGGGTGCGCATGGGGTGGTCCCTGAACGCGGCCGCTACCCGTGACGGTCGTCCAAGGCACAGCAGGCGTGGCGTTTTCTCGACCCCGTGGGGGGTGTGCACGGGGTGGTCCCTGAGCGCGGCCGCTATCCGTGACGGTCGTCCAGGGCACAGCAGGCGTGGCGTTTTCTCGGCACCACAGGGGGTGCGCACGGGGTGGTCCGTGAGCGCGGCCGCTATCCGTGACGGTCGTCCAGGGAACAGCAGGCGTGGCGTTTTCTCGACACCCCAGGGGGTGCGCACGGGGTGGTCCCTGAGCGCGGCCGCTATCCGTGACGGTCGTCCAGGGCACAGCAGGCGTGGCGTTTTCTCGACACCACAGGGGGTGCGCACGGGGTGGTCCCTGAGCGCGGCCGCTATCCGTGACGGTCGTCCAGGGCATAGCAGGCGTGGCGTTTTCTCGACACCACAGGGGGTGCGCACGGGGTGGTCCCTGAGCGCGGCCGCTTTCGTGACGGTCGTCCAAGGCACAGCAGGCGTGGCGTTTTCTCGACACCACAGGGGGTGCGCACGGGGTGGTCCCTGAGCGCGGCCTTTTCTCGGCCCCACAGGCGGTGCGAACGGGGTGGTCCCTGAGCGCGGCCGCTATCCGTGACGGTCGTCCAAGGCACAGCAGGCGTGGCGTTTTCTCGACACCACAGGGGGTGCGCACGGGGTGGTCCCTGAGCGCGGCCGCTATCCGTGACGGTCGTCCAGGGCAAAGCAGGCGTGGCGTTTTCTCGACACCACAGGGGGTGCGCACGGGGTGGTCCTTGAGCGCGGCCGCTATCCGTGACGGTCGTCCGTGCGGTATCGGCGGGGCAACGGCCACCAACATCATTCGCACATGCTTCCTTTCAGCTATCAGCATCCCAGCCATAATATAAGAATGTGGGGTTCCTCGGTAGCATATCCCCCCTGTGTGTATATGTATATATATATATATATG